TTTCACTTCACAGGTGTGCCTTGTCATTTGTGGAATTTCTTGCCTTCTTAATGGGGTTGGGACCATCAGTTATGTTGTGCAGAAATCAAGTTGGTACACAGCTGACACAATTCATATTTGACCAAGAAGAAGAGTGATGGAGTGCTGCGCCAGATGGTCTGGCCTCTACAGTCACTAAAATCCACATAAATCCATTCGAGATGGTTTGGGATGAAGTGAAGGCAAAAAGGCCGAAAAGTGCTCAGCATCTCTAGGAACTCCTTCAAGACTGTTGGAAAACCATTTCAGGTGACAACCTCATGAAACTCATCGAGAGAATGCCAAGAGTGTGCAAAGCATCTTTTGAGTTATCTCACACTTTTTGTTTACTACATAATTCAATATGTATTCATTCATAGTTTTGATGCCTTCAGTGAAAATCTAGAATGTAAATAGTCCTGAAAATAAAGAGAAACTGTTAAATGATAAGGTGTGTCCAAACTGACCGGTAGTGTAGGTCAGAGGCAAGACTGAGGAAAATCATCACAGGTATTACTGTGAAAAAACAACTTTTTAAAGGTGGGTGACTGCATATAGACATCCAATGTCTGAATAAACATGTTCATCATTGCCTCATCAGGCAAGTTGTAATGTTTTTAACCAAAATTAAAAATAAAACTAAGAATATTTATTCTGTGTTTTTAGATTTTTCAAAAGTTGTTTCTTTATTTCTAGTTTTAGTTTTTACTTTAAATTAACTATTATAACCTTGTATCATGATATCATAAATTATTTGCTAGATAGATAAATAGATATGGTGAAGGTGCAGTTGTCGCCGCCAGATGACAACAGACACACTTACGTCACTGTCAGCGTGAGGATGGGCGTGGTCGCAGAGCACTTCCCACTCAACAGACATTTTTCTGATTGCAGTGTACGGGCAGCAACGCTCTCACCGTCGCAACAGTAAAACCGACTTTATTTTACTATTATTATTATTTTTATATAAAAAAGGAGGTTTCCTTTTGACCTGACCGGATAACGGTAAGTTAACCGGAGTGCTCGTTTTAACGTGTTAAATCGCGGTGCTGTAGCGTAAACACTGGACAGTTTTTTTAAACCCCCACGTTATCGACCCAGGCTCGATCCACTGGCTTTAAATAGCGAGATAGCGAATTTTAATATGCAGGTTAGGTCGCTTTCTTTAAAGTTTTTAATTTTACATCTAACACCCGTGTTTGTTTGCCATTATCGGTACTTTTTTGTGCTTTATGTGCTTTTTGGTTGCTCCAGCTATTACATTGAAAGTCCGAGTTGCGTGTGAAGATCAGGGCTGTCGGGAGTGGGAGGAGCCCCGAGGGTCGCCTGGAAAACATGGAAACCTAATTAGGTTTAAATGGTTTAAACCGACATGAATAAAATATAGTTGGCAGCATAGGCCTCATTGCCTTTAAATAAGCAATAAGACGCTGTAATAAAAATGATTTAATCTATATTTTGTGTGTTGAACAGGGGGTTTTGTACTGGTGGATACATCCACCTGTCTCTTTATACATGTCATACATTGATTTTCTACTTTAAACATTTTTACAGGGAAAATCAAGTCCATTGGGGTTTTTTTCTCACAAGTTTTTTGTGTGTGTCTCAAATTTAGGATTCAAGATGTTTTACACATGTGGACCCAATGAAGCGATGGTGGTGTCTGGTAATGGATTAATTATTGTTTCTGTGATTGTTTCTGTGAACAACACATGAGAATATTCTCACCATAGCATCTGCAAGCTTTATTGTTGTTTAGAAACTTGCAGCTCAGAAGATCAGTGTAATAAACAAAAGACAGAGAAATCCTGGAATTGGATTGTTAGAGTGAAGTGTTGTGTACAAGTGTCACATGTGTCTTGTGATAAGGCCAAGACTTGCTGACAGTTTAGAGTAAGCTAGGAATTTTCCAATGGCGCAAGCTGTTGTGGATGAATTGCATGAGTCGCACTGTCATGAAAGGTTCCAAGTTCAGCTGTGCTCTCTTGAATCAGTTCCTGAATGAGTGACTCTTATTGGATGGGTTTGTTAATATTTGGTTTCCCCTCTTTTGTCAGGCTGCGGCCGTTCTCCACCTCTAATGATTGCTGGAGGAAGAGTGTTTGTCTTGCCGTGTATTCAACAAATCCAGAGGTAATTCCCATTTTCATTTTAATTTCCCTTGTGTAGTTTTTATAGCTACAACATTGCTGTGCAGTTCATCATAGTGTGAAATAAAGACAGAGACCGCAAATAGGGAAGCTTGCCATTATCAGGGAAGCAATCTTAGTTTCTCCAATGTTACTGTTACCCTTGCTCTCAGTTTTTGAATCTCATCAGTTCCACCCTTCATTTTGGTCTTTTTTTGTTTGTTTGTTTTTGGTCTAATCAGGATCACACTCAACACCCTGACTCTAAATGTGAAGAGTGACAAAGTCTACACCCGCCATGGAGTCCCTATCTCTGTCACCGGCATTGCGCAGGTATGCTTTGAGAACTTTTT